CTTGCGCCCCCCCCCCCCGCCCCCCGCCCCCCCTGTTATTTTATTAGGTGGTTTTGGTTAGGCGCAAGAACACCGGGGTGCTGTACGCGATGAAGATCCTGAAGAAGGGCGACGTGGTCCGGAAGAGGCAGGTGGAGAGGACGAAGATCGAGAGGAGGGTGCTGGGCAACGTGGAGCACCCCTTCCTCATGCGCCTGCACTACGCCTTTCAGGTGTGTGGCGCCGCCCCGCGTAGTTACAGCGACGTCGAACAGCAGCGTTGATACAGCACCGTAGATACAGCACCATAGGTGCAGCAACGGTGAACGGCACAGTCGCCGTGATCCCCTGTGTAGCCTAGCCAAAGGGCAGAACGCCTCTCCGTCGATTTCGTCCCCGGCATTTCAATCACGGCCCTGCAAAACCTGTAGATTCAGCAGCGGTGTGCGGCCGCGCGTAGATGCAGCAGCGGTTGTTTGTCGCACGTAGGTTCGGCAGCGCGCCAGCGGAAGCTCCTGTTTTGGTCCAGAGGCTCATTTGTTACCCTCTTTGGGGGGTATCCCAAAACATCGACTAGTTTAGGCTTCTGGCCTGAGCCCCTTGCTCTTCAAGTCTTTATCTGTGTGGGGGGAATGAAAATGGTACGGTCTCCCAGGTTCTTGTGTGGTAGCGCATACTGTATGCTTCGGGTTTCGTGTTCATACGTCATTCAAGAACACAGTCAAATACACAATGGCATACCAGGTATTCGTGTATGTTTGTTTTGCCGAAAACGAGAAGCGTTGATTGTAGTTGTAGCCGCGAGCGTGATAAGTGCGAAGTTCCCGTGGTAAGGCTGGCGTGCTACCCCTTCTGCTGGTGACGAGATGCGGTCGTCGTCGCTAGTTAGCACGCGCGACCAACCAACACTCTTCCGACGGACATGCCTCCTTGAAGCTATTTTTTTATGAACGCGTGCCGCCCTTGTTGCCTGACGGACAGACGGACAACAAGCTGTACCTCGTGCTCGACTACTGCTCCGGGGGCGAGCTGTTCTTCCACCTGAGCCGGTACAAGCGGTTCCCGGAGGGAGTGGTGCGGTTTTATGCGGCAGAATTAGTCCTGGCGTTGAAGGTATGTAACGCCGTCGTTGTTCGGAATTACACTTGAAATACGTGTAAGAAAGAGTACCCGTTCGAGATAGTACCACAGTCGAAGGGACTGGGTTGAAGTCTTTCAATGAAGGGGGCGGGGGGGGGATTGACTGGATACTAGGCCTTTTTCTTGGTCGATTTTAAGCCTGTACAGCAGTCGCTACTATCGTTGTTGTTGTTGTCGTTGGTATCAAATATGGTGGCTGTTTTTTTTGCATATTTTTTTGCAAGATGTTGTTGATGTCCAAGGAGACAAGAAGCGTCTTGTACGTACGTTTTCTACCTGTACTGCTGCTGCGTCTATCTATGTTCAATTCATGATTTGTGACGTTTTCCTTTTTTGCATTTTCTATGCCAAGAAAGAAATTCATCACATTCGCAAAAAAATAGACGCGGAAGGGGGCTCTTTTTTTCGTTCGTTCTCTCACCCCACGCGCGGCCTTTGTTCGACACCCATGCCATTGTTTTCCGTTTTCGTTTTTTTCTTGTCATTTTCGTTCGCTCTCTCACCCCGCGCGGCCTTTGTTCGACACCCATGCCTTCGTTTTCTGTTTTCGTTTTGTTTCTTGTCGCTCTCTCTTCTCTCGTCCAGCACCTCCATGACAACAACATCATTTACCGGGACATCAAACCCGAGAACATTCTCCTCGACGCGGACGGACACATCAAGGTGGGCACGTCGTGCCTGCCTCTCTGGGTTGGTGGTCTGACACCGAACCGGGCGTTCGGGAACAAGCCTTTTAGTTTAGGACAAGCTCGAACAGAAGTGGATGCATGTAGCATGGTATTGAAAACGCCCTTCGAATCAGGATTGGGGAGAGGGTGATGCCATTGCTCTATCCCACACTGAAGGGGGAAGACGGTCGGGGCGTGACGGTTGTCATGAAAGGTGCACTTTAGTACGGGAGGAGCCCCTGTCTTACGTAATTACGTTGGGCGTTCTTGTTGTTGTTGGTAGGGGGGGGGG